AGAGCTAGGAGCTGTAGCCCTGCTCTAGGGGTTGGCCATTTCTCACCCACAGTGACTCTTGGCACTGAATACCCCAACAAAGCATTTGTCTGGAGGGTCAGGGGCCGCCCACAGAGGGAAGGGACCCTGTTCTGTGTGCCAAATTCTGCCCTAGTGGGTTTTCATTTATTAGCTCCTTTAAAACAGTCCATTTAAAGGAAATGTTCCATTATCATCCACATTTTATAATTAACTGATTTGTCTAGGGACAGACTTGGGTTCACATCTTGGCTATCCTACTTAGGAGCAATGTATCCTTCGGGTGATCACTGCATGTCTCTGAGCCTCAGTTTTTTTCACCCTACTAGTAAGGGGCTGGTAGGAATTAACATGATTCTGGGGCTAGGAGGTACTATTTATTCCCTTTTGAGGCACCAAGAGGCTCAGTACAGAAAATCCACTCCAAACTACACATTGCTTAAACATTTACTAAAAGCTTCTGTATCCTGACAATAAATCCTGGGACCTGAATTTTCCAGGACTATCCCAATTTCAAATCCTCTGTCCTAACTTTCCACATAAAGCATCAAATGTCTCAAAAATTCCACTCTCTCAGTATCCAAACAACACCTCCTAGGCCTCCGCTTACACAAAGCAGCAGCACATTCTTTGACTACAGATCCTAGCCTTTGGTTCAGAAAATGTAGTCAGCAGAGCCCTGCTGGCCCTCTGATGGAAACGGGGTCATGGCAGCCAGTACTCCATCACGACCCAGACTTGGTTGTTTCCCGGCACATTGGTGTGAACTACAGCCAGAAGCCAAACCATGATGAGGGCATCACCCACAGAGGGCCACAGACTGGTTAGACGAGCTCTCCCCCCACCTCCCTACCAAGATACTGGTACCCAGGTGGGTACGAAGCACAGCCAGAGGGTTGCTCCAAGGTTTAAATGAATATTTAGAAACCACTCAGAACAGTGCCTGGCATCTGGTAAGTGCCATAACAGTGTTTAATAACTAAACGCAAAGGCATACCTGGCAGAAGGCGCTCATGCCTCCAAGACAACCCACAAGCATCACTGCTATGTGGGGAGAACAAGAGGGGACACTTACCCCTGCATTGAATGAGGCTGGGCCTCCTCACAGATGTGGGGGAGCACCCTGACTACAGGAGGTAGGTCCTGTATTAGCCAAGGTCAGGAGGCTAGACCTGGGGAAGAGTCACCACTCCTGAAATACACAAGGTCTCTTTGTGCCTCTGAGCCTTTGCATCTGCTGTTCTGTCTGCCCCCCAAATACCATCTTTTTCTACCCTCAAGGCTGAATTCAAATGCCAACTACTCCTTATGGTGTTCCTTGATGCCCATCAGAATGAATGGCTGCCTCCACTGGTCTCCCTTGCATCTGGCTTTATCATCTTTTAAAGCAATTGTGAAACAGATGGGTAAGATACAGAGTATGTGTGCACACGCACACATGCACACACACACACACACACACACACACACACACACACACACACACACAATCATTGTCTTCCCAAATCCACCCTACATCCTTCCAAGATAAGGGTTCAGCTTTCATCTCTGTAACCCTAGGGCCTGACACACAGCTCAGTAAGTGTCTAAATTTTCTGTGAAATCTGTGCTCTCAGCTGGTCTTCACCTGCAGGCAGAGAGTGGTTTCAGGTGCACACATAACCAGAAGCTATGTAGACCCAAGATCTGTGGGCCTTGGAACCCATGACCAGATCAGATTTTAGCCAGGGACCTACCAAAGCATTTGCTTTCATCCTCTTCAGGTGGATGAAAGGAGACACCTGTGATACCAGGGTAGTGTAGACACTGACCGGGTCCTGGCCTGTCTGTAATAGAACTAGTAAGAGGAGCCCAAGCTTGGGAAGCAACACCAGCAGGCTGCCCTGCCTCCAGTCTGTCAAGGCCAGGGAAGTGCAGAGTGCCTTAGGCATTCCAGCCCCTGCAACACACCTGGGAAAAGAAGAGAGATTGGCCCTGCTTTCCAGGAACCACTACTATCTGGTGGTAGGAAGTAGAGCTCTGGGGTTAGGGTCAAAGTCGCAGATCCCCTCCCCACCTACCACAAACCCTGAGGGGAGGGAGGGGGCCAAGTCTTATAGTTCCTTCCAAAACCCAAAGCTGAGCCCTGTGGGGATGGGGGGTGGGGTATGTGCATTCTGGAAAATGGAACACCTGATGTGCCTGGACCCATGGTTCAGAAGGTCACCCTTCGTCCCTCTTGCTCCTGGCCCCAGACTACCTTTGCTAGCTCAGTTTCCTCAACTGCCAAGCGTGGAACAGAACAACACTAAAATTAAACAATGTACGTGAAACCTCCCAGTTCACAGTCAATAATCAAGGAGTTGGTCCCAATCCCAAGACCAATTACCAGCTGGGAACCTCAACTTCTTTCGGGGGTAGGATTTGTCTCTGACCAGGTTCCTGACACTTGAATGAGGTTTAAAAGCTACCAGAACTCTTCTCTATGAAAAATGTGAAAGGTGGGCTCTGAAACAGGAGTGACCAAGCAGTGATGTATCCAAATTTGACTCTGTGTTAACTTAGGTTCTTGGTCCTTTCCCAACTGTCCCTGAAGACCTGCTTTCTCCCCGAAGGGAAGTTCCCCCAGGCATCCTGGGTTTGCTGGGGTCAACAGGCTTGCTCAGCATCCCCACCCAGCACTGCATCAGATATACAGAAGTGGCTTAATAAATGCTTGCTGAACAGAATGCCACTCCACTCGGAAATGCCTTTGGTAACTTGACCTTTTCACATTCCTTCGCTAATGTCTAATTTACATATAAGAGTCCGCTTTAGGAGATGGCAAATCACCAGAGACAACTTGGGATCAATAGGGTATTAGGCACGTTTTATTCTAAGCCAATTCTCTGCAAATTGGTATTCCATTAACTGTACGTGGGATTTATGGGAACTCACTATGAACCAGAATATTTAACTAGAACGACCTACTCTCTGTCAGATAATAGCTTACCATTGTTAATTTTCAACTAGTCAATCTCGGAAAGGTTTCCAGCTTCCAATCTACGTGTTGATTTAATCATCAATAAAGTCATCTATTTGAAAGTCTCCGTACAATAAAGGACAGCCTGGTGCAGAAGAAAAAGATCTGCCTTTGGAAGCAGAAGACCTGATATACCACCCAGGCCACATACTGTGTCATCATCGGCTGCTCAATTTCCTTATTTGCAAAATGGGACTAACACTAGCCTCATGAGAGAGTTGTAAAAATTGAGTCCATGCGTGTGGATGCACTCTGTACAGTTCTAGGAGACTATACAAAGGTTAAGATGAAATTCTTGAACAACTCAAGGAGGCTAATGATAGAGTGCAGGGTGGTTCTGAAGGGGGAGAGGAGATATTTTGGTCCCCAGGGGACACTTGGTCATGGCTGGAGACATTTCTGGTTGGCACAATTGAGGGAGAAGGATTGCTACTGGAATCTACTGGGTAAGGCCAGGGATGCTACTACACATGCTGCAATGCACTGGGCAGGCCCCACCACAAAAAAATTATCCAACCTCAAATGTTAACAGTGGTGAGGTTAAGAAACCTTGAGCTAAATAAATAATCGGGAAAGTTGGGTATGGAGCTTTTCAGAACAGAAATCCTCCTAAGCAGCCTGTACTTCTTCGTATCTATCATCCCTTTAAACATTTGAAGATCCATCTTGCAACACAGCTCTTTTGTAAGTAAAGCTCAACTGCCAACTTCTGGAGTTTCTGAATGTATAAAACTGCTTTTAAACACGATGCTCTCCGATTACAATGCAGCTAAATTGTTTCTCCAAAGCCCTTGACTTCTGCAGTTCTCCAAGGCACAAAGACAGGGGTCTGTCACTCTGCCACTAGGCCCTGAAGATGCTCTCATAATTCTAATTTCCTGGTGAAATGGGAGCCACGAGGGTCTCTAAACGAATTAAATTCACATCACGCCAACTGCTCCCTTGCTTTGTGCCGGGCACGGTGCCAAACACCTCCACATAATTTATCCCACTTAATCCACCCAACAACCAGCTGTTTGCAGGGGAGGAAATTGAGGATCAGAGAGGTTAAACAACTTGCCCAAGGTCACCAGCTGGCCAGGGTGAGCCCCACATGAACGGAGGTCTCCAGTTTCCAAGTCACAAGCTCTTTCCACCAGCTCGGAAAACCCAGGTGTCAAGTTGTCTCAACGTCCCATGAATTTTTAAGACACCCGCAACTTCTCAATAAGTTTAGGTTGCTGAAAATGGGAATTTCCGGGGGGCTGGGCGTTCTCACATACACTCCCCCACTGCAGCTGTCTCACCGCAGGTACCTGATAAATGATTCCATATCGCCCGCGAACGGGGAGGATTTATTGGCGCTGGAGTTCGTGCCAGGCCCAGGAAATGCCATTTTGAAAGCCGAGAGGCGGATTCGCCCTGAGAGCCGAGAAGGTCTGGCCGCCGCGCTTGGCTGGCCCCACGCGCGGGCTGTGCGCCCCCCGGGCGCCCGGGACTGGGGTCGCCGCGGCGCTGGGCCCTCCGAGGTCGCCAGCCGCGTCCACCCCTGCCCAGGTCGGAGCGCACGCCCACGCCCCGCTGCCGCAGCCGCCG